TGATAATAAATTATACACTTAGGAACTACCGACATCGTGTCCACACACACACACACAGTAGGTACGACTTGTAAGCTTTATATATTGTCATCCATACGGACACGCAACCGCACATTATCTTATCGGGTTTTGGTTATAAATTCCATTTCGACCCCCGAGTGGCGTTACGACGGCGTCCTATTACTTATCCGGCGGGGTACATAATATTATACAAAACAATCGTTTAATAATTTTGCTAACTTTAACCAACAAACAAAAAAGACACACAAAGCACGTTGTATTGTGATTGTAATTAATGACTTTGCGTGCAAGTTCGCTTGTCGCGTGTGGGCGAGAAATTATATACAATGCATGCTTGCAATATCGCATAGGTATATTACCCATAAGCGTTAACCCCCCCCCCCCCATACGCGTTCGTTTGGATATTTAACAACAGGACGGCCACGATCTAGATTATTGAAACGGCGGCGATGAGATTTGCATCAGCTATAATATACAATGCGCAAACGGCACGGGCAGCTTATCTCTTTTTAATTGGTCATCCCCGGACCCCCCCCCCCCAATAGCATTTTATTGGCGGTTGCTGCACACACGGTCGAGCTATAGTATCATTATAATATCGTTATTACTATTGTAAACGAAACCGCATCTGTAAAATATAAGAAAAGGAATACGGGCGTTATCGCGTTAGATCGAGTGTAAAGAATTAAAGCTTTTTTTTTTTTTATGGCGTTGACTTTTTTGACAGAACGTGGCGACAAAAATCGCACGACGACCCCGCTCGGTAGATACCATCTTAGCCGGGGCGAGCACTTAATGAGTGCACGTTCAAGTGTTTGTCGGGCTAATTAATTCTGTCGAAATCATGTCCGAAAATCGCGTTTAAGGGCCATTTAAAAAAAACTCGACCGGACAGACCGTAAAACCAAAACGCCATTGGCCAAACCATTACACAAAATATAACGGTCCTATCTCGATATAGGTATTGTATTAACGACGGGCAAGCGCGTCGAAAACATGTTTCAAAATAATATAACAATCAGTAAAACGTTTATACGGCTTACACAATATGTTTCCCGAACGACTTTGGGCCAAGAAAACGTTCTCAAAAAGACATGCTCGACAGCGGTTTACCTATACATTAAGCCCTACACTATTAATGTAATAATTATAATGTATCGTACTTAGGGAATGATAGCGATTTTTAAACTTTTTTGTTTTTTAGAGCAACATCCGCGCTTAACGACTGGACGGAATGGATTTCAAAAAAAACCGCATTACAACAGCTTGTGTTTTACTGACAGACTTTTGTCTGACTTTTTACAAGTTTTCCGTTAAACGCGCGCCGTAGAGAATATTGTATATTTTTTATAATCCGTCGCCGTGCGACGGTTACACGCGTTTATTATTTATTTGAAAAGGAATGCCGTTAAAAAACAAAAAAAAACCGCACGTGATTGTAAACAATAAGCAAAAATCGGTGTTTTATACGCCGGCACGTACGTGTGTACGACACAATGCCAAAAAATAAAAATAAAAAACCTCAAAATGTTCATTGGCTTCCGATCGACAAACAATATTGTGCATTACACCGTCGTCTTCGCGCTGTCTCCGCGCGAATATTATTATTATTATTATACATATATTGTTTTCGTGTATTGTCTATCTTATACTATTATTACCATTATTATTATTATCGTCATCATCGCACACACACACACCACACACTAAAAGCCTCGGGTACAAATTTTTCGTGTATGTGTGTACAGTGTGTCTATATACACTATACGGTACAGATATATATATGTATACTATAACACACACACACATACACGTCAGTTATATTCATAGACCGTTTTGTCTTGTCCAGGGTCGAGGACCTCTCCGTCTTATGTGTGTACCCGCGACGGAGACGCGCACACGGCGGCCGAGACGACATACTTCCATGAGCCGTTTTTGGCCTCAGGCCTTATTGCATGTGTGTGTGCGTTTGTAAGTGAAAAAAAAAAAAAATAACATATATACACACACACACACACTGTACACAATCACGAATTAGAAGCGTTTCTTTTTCGAGTCGTCATACGCACACACATAGTATTATACATATTTATCCGTGCATATTATAATATTATCTCGCGTGCTAACAATAATCGCCATATTATAATTCCACTGGCGGCACGTGATAATTACTATGATCGTCTCGAGTCATAAACGTTCGAATACATAAGCCGCGTATAGGACACATATCGTCCTGTGTGTGAGTGTGTGTGTGTATACTTTAAACGCGACCCGTATATTATTAAAGTCTCCACTTTCTCTCGAAGCCCACCGAGTCATCCCGGTCGGAACAACCCATTGTAGTGTCTAAAGGATACCCATAAGCAGACGACCGGGACCGGGAAGTCAAGTCCAAACCGCTACGGGCCCAATATAGAGATTTGAATGCGATATAATTAAAATATTTTCCTTTAGGCATTGCACCATATCTATCTATACCTGGCTGTAGCTTTTTGTATTGCTGAACAGCATTTTCTACATTGCTCAGACAACAATTATTTGCTTACACAAGGTAATGTATCATCTATACAAATTTTGTCGACTATGTTCTACAAAATATGAGTTCCGAATAAAAAACTAAAAGGTTGTGCTTCACAAAAACCAGAAAAAAACTTTTATATTAAGCTATACTTTGGGTTTTTTTGTTTAAATTATATATTGCTATAACTACTGTACAAATTAATATGTTAAAAACGAAAAATAAGTTATTTTTATGTTTTAATAATTACTATTTAGTATTATATAATATCCAACAACTCCAAAAATGAGCACTAAATTGTGACGTATTTTATTTTCGCGAGTCGTAGGTATAAGTCGACGGTTAGGCACAGTTCATCGATCCGAACCGATTAATTGATGTTGTATAAAAAAAAAAAAAACAATCAATAGACGATATAATAATTATTTTATAATGGCCGAATTTGCCGAAATACAGTGTGAAACGTACGGCGGGTTAATTGGATTCAACGAAATCTATCACTATCGCGCATGTGGATACTAATCTTATTTTTAATATATAACATGTGTATTATAGACCGGCAGTCGCCGTTTTGGGATTTTTGTTTTTTAATGCGTCCGACGATTCTTTGTACGCTTAATGACGAAGGGGTACCTATAGGTATCTATAATTTAAACGTGTAAAATAATTTCAGACACATGCCCGTGTTGTCGGACACGCCCCTGCGGTAAGTATAGGCAAATTCGTGTACTTGACCGTATTATGCATACACGTCACGTACCTACCTCGACTCTAGCGTCGGCCGATGAAATAATCAAACGGGTCGGTTCGCCATCGTCTAATTAATCCCCCCAAAAAAAAAATAACAATATTAATATTTAATGGCATCAAACCTAAGACGGCGAAACGCACATTAACAACTTCCGACCAGACGATGATAGCCGGCAGCCGGCGATTCGATGAAATCATCAAAACCGCCATAATTACAATATTATATTATATACAAAAAAAAACCGTCCCAATACGACTAACGAGGACGTCAGAAATTCTACTCATCGTATTGGCAAGTACAAACAAAAAGGGGGGGGGGTCGATAACGGATTTTTCATTTTGACCGTAGAGACAGAGATTTTTGACTAAGTACTTCACTGTACTACCTGCCAAAAGATATGCATGCAACAACGAGGTACAGTACACACAACTGACTACTGGACTAAAGTCCATGGGATGGCCACTGTTTGTTATTATTTTGCCTAAATAAACGCGCGTTTATTAAAATTAATTTTGAGTCTATAAGAATACTCGTGAGGTAAACTAAGATTTATAAACTACATTGTCCAATTTATAATTCAACAAAACATTTACACTTTACAATACGTCTTACTTACCTACTGTTTGTCTATCGAAAAACAGAAAAATTTAAATATGCCCTAAAACGATTCTGCTCGCCAGAAAACGCATCTCTCGAAATACACATATGCATTCTGAAAGTTGAAAATAAGTATAAATGTGCTATGTAAGTACACGCTATTTATCGAAAAATTGCCTACACTCTACTCCTTAATAAAATAGATGGTTTGAGGCTCTTTTGACTAAAATGTAAAAATATGCCCAAAATGGATTGGGACGAAAAGGTCAAGATTAAATTTCAAAAACGATGGCGAATTACAATCAAACCCCCGACTGACTGTTGTTATTTCGAAGGTTCTTGGATAGTATAACGGTTGGGCGATTACAATTATTATTTCTTGTGTACTTTTTGGGATTCTCAGCCGCAGTACTTGGCGACGGCGCGCAATACTATTTTACAAGGGGGACCCAAATCTTGCCGATTTCGCAAGCCCGTCTTACTTAATGCGATTTATCGTTATAGTCGTTACATATTATATTGTATCATGTCAATTGTATGCACTACACCGTACAGCAGGATGTCGTCGCGCCGGCGCAAAACGACCGGAGCCAAGCCAAGTGGCGTCGTCCCGAATCGATTACACGGTGTTTGGCGATGGTGCCACGGCGAAAAAAAAAAATAACAACCATAATAATAAGAAACGCAAAACAACGAAATGAAAACCAAAGGGGCGGCTCTGTAAGCGGACTCGGCCGAAGGATTTCCGATATTGTGTGTACGACAATAGCGGCGCCCGCCAAGTGATACCCTTACGCAGGAGGTGGTAGATTTCATTCATGAAAACACACCGAGGAGACGCGGATCCTAGTCGGTATAGCATATTATACACATAGGAATATATATATATATATGTATAGATTATATGTGCATAAGTGATGCGTTTTCTGGAATGTCGCCGTCGTGGCCGTTTGATGCCGACCGATAACCCTCTAATGGGTTGTACCTGTTATATTATATTATATTATAAATATATAAACGGGCGCACGTTACAACAGCTATATAAACAATATATATACACGATTTGAGCCCATATAGGACGAGTATATTAGATTATGTACGAATATATATTACCGGTGTGTATTCTTTGGTGCGCTTTTAGGTGAGAGCTTTTGGTGTATCCTTTGTTGCAACCTGAAACGCACACGAGAAGAGCGAGATTAGTTTTGTACATTACATTATACGTTTATATGTATAATAACACAATATTAATAAAAACCCGCGTTCAACGCGTTACTATACAAACCGGTCCAAAATGTAATAAAAGAAATATAGCCCGTAGACCAAAAACATTTTATTGGATGATAATATCATCATAAAGACTATAGTACCCTCGAATAATTGATTAAATGCAAAATGCGCTTGTAGAAATAGCAGGATTTATCATAACTATTTTAAGCCATACTTCCCCAGCCCCCCTCTAGTTGAACCATTAGTTATCATTTAAATAAACACAACGACCAAAACCCTCGGCCGTTATAATATGAGAGGTGTCTGCTTCGGACTCGGGTCATCTACTAAAATGTTGATGATAATATGTTTCTTCTAATCTGTATAGTAATACAATAATGACCAATTTTACGTCCCTTTGTAAATAATATCACGTACTTACCGCCAAAATTGCAATGGTGCGTCCGCCTCCTCTCCAGGTCGGGGTTGTTCCTGCGGTTGAACTTCATGGTCCTCTGGACGTTTGTCCGGACGGGATAAGGCGGCGGCGGCGTTCGCCGTTTGCCGGGAGATCCCGGCTCCGATATGGGGGGCGTCATGGGGGCGACTCTCGGGAAGTACCCGTGATGGTGGTGGTGCTGTTGGTGGTGGTGGTCGTGGTGGTGGTAGTGCACGTGCAAGTACGACGGGGTGTACAGTCCCGGGCTGGCCACGCTCTGGTATTCGGGACTGTTGGCTTCGGGAGCTTCCACCTTGACGTGGGTGACCTGCAACGACTGATCGTCCAACGGCGAGAACATGTTCGGATCCACCACTTCGTTCATCTCGAACCACGGTGCCTCCTGCGAATCGTCCGGGTGGTGGTTGCTCAAGTTCTGGTCGCCGGGCCTGGTGGCCAGCCCAGTCGCCTCGAAGAAATCGCACATCACCGGCTCCGTTCTGGACTTAATGACGTGTTGGTCTTCGACCATGAGTCCTTGCAACATGGAATCGAAGTCTGGACTCTGGATAAAAACAAAAAACAAAAAACAATTAGTCAGTAGCTTAAATATTCGAACCGAAGGCTGTATATTTTCTTTGTTTTCAATATTTTATTTTAATGCATTGTACACAACAGCCGTTACGGCGGTAATTTATCGCTGCAACCGTCGTTTGTGTATACACTGCATAATATAGAGGTAATCAATAAAAAAATATATATAAATTGCAGATACAACCGCAAATTACGAACGCCCGTGTTAATAGCTTAGGCAAATCCCAAGGACTCATTACAAAATATCGTTATTGGTTCGAAACCGTCCGCGGTGGACATCTGGCGTGCGGGCGTTTAAGTCTCCGGTCGGTGCTTACGTTTTCAGTTTTATCGCCGACAAACTTGACGATTGAACCTTATCTACACGTTTTTACATTTAAACGGAATAATATTATAAACCGGCCGTTCTTGTACACCGGTGGAAACGCTTACGGAACGCTCGTTTTTGGTTTATCGCGTTTGATCTGTGTTAATACGGTTTATATGGGTAGTAATAATGATAATAATAACGACAACCCGAAACACGCAGTGTTCCTTATAGTATAAAGGTACCTATAATCGTGTAAATCATTGCCCGACGTCGGTCTCGAGGACCGACAAATTTTCGAGAAAAAAACAACTGTAATAAAAAAAATACCGAAAACTGCGTGTTAACGTATTTAAAATTAAGTACACGGAAACGGTTTTTGGCAACGCGCGTACATCTTGTACATGTACCTATATACCATACCATACATTATCAACACACTATAATAAACGCCACCTGACGCGGCCACCACATCACCGGACCGTAGCGTTGAGCGTGGGCCGTGTCTTAATGGGTCTCCGTGGCATTATTTATGGCCAACGCGGGGAAACAACACAAGACATATGGTCGCATAAATACCGCGGCGTTACGTTTAGGCAACCCGAATTACTCGGGGGAAACGCCACAGAACGCTAGACCAAGAGACAGTATATATTGCTTCCCTTGGCGGTTTTTGGGTATTCCCACGGACATCCTTCGGACGTCGACCTATATTATATCATATTACTGTACATAAAATTACATAAATAAAATATATATATATATATATATATAGGTTAACGGTAGGGATTTTTGTGTAAGCCACGACGTAAATCTGCATAGTCCAAGCCATCTGTTTGGACGTTGTGCAAGGCAACCTTGTAACAAATGTAAAATGTTTTTGGAAACTCATATAACGACTTCGGTCCATTTGCGCTGACGCCCACTCGGAAACGTCGGAAACGCGCCGTCAAAGCGGCAAAATATACGGCTTAATTTGTTTTTAATACACCTTGGTCACGACAAAGACCGTCTGGCCCGTAGACGATAGATTAACCAATAGTGAATATACATGGGTCTATGGTTCGACCATTGCGGCACTTGAACGTTATGGGCAGTAAAAAAATATATATAATATACCTACTCGGCGACTATTGAAAACCGTTGAAATATCAAATATTGCACGCATTATCTCGATGGCCCGAGCTTTTCGTTTCTCATTGCATACAACGTCTTCCGGTCCAAGGAACTTACATTACAACAGCTTAATGCCCATATGTACAACACAATATTGTAACAATAGTCGATATAATGTTATAGCGCCAACGTGTCGCGGTGTAATTACATAAATGTCACGGTTGAACCTATATAATATGTATAGTGTATTCCTAGGTATATTTTATAATCGTGTATACACATGGACATTACACGTAAAATGTGCGTTATTGCGGTGTCGAATTATATTCAGTATATCGCATGCGGTAAATAAAAAAAAATAATAAAAAAAAAAATAGAGGAATAATATGCGCGTACGACGTGCACGGAATATAGTGTTTGTTTTTCCTTCTGTAAATCGAAATGCGCCTCTCGTCCGGCGTGGCAGTCGTAAAACAAATACTTGGCACGGACCACCGTCAGGTAGCAAATTATTTTATCGACACGAATATAATTATTACACGCGGCATATCTGTGATAATTAAAAATTTTAAAAAAAAATTGCAATCCTCCGACAAAATTCAGATATATTCGAGACTATAACGTGGTGCAAAACGAACTTCAATTGCTATTGACATGTAAAATAGCTGTTAGTAACCAGGCTAGACAAAAAAAAATATTTTAAGGTATTTTTTTTTTATGTACCTATTTAAAAATGATTTATTAATTTTTATAGGTAATAAAAAGAAGAAACATGCCATTTCGTACTGTATAAATATTATTTAATATTTATTTTGACGACATAATCACACCGTACAACATGATTTCGAAACAAAAACGAAAATAAGACGGAGTCCGGGTATCTGCACCTTATATTATTTTGTGCGCAGAGATTTTTCGGTATCTCGGTATGTACTTAAATACACATTATTATTATTATTATGTCGAGGGTATGTGTAACTGCAACACTGGTTGTGCAAGTCGCACAAATATGTGCTCTCGGCGGCGGGTCGATCGCGCGGAACGCAACAGCCTTGCCGGCTGAAGTGCACGGGCAACGACAGGTGTACCTACAACACATTATAATGTGCCTATACAGCGGCAATAACGCTATTATCAGCTTCAGCTCTCTCTCTCCTCTCTCAGTATAAAGTGACGGCGGTGTGCAGCTGATTGATGGCGTTTTAATGAAGTGTCCCAGTAGTGCGGCTATGTATATACACTGAGGCGGCAAGTGGAGTCGTTATAATGTACAGCCTCGAACTTGGCGGCCGCGTGTGTATCTTGCCATTGTATTTAATGGTTGACCCATTCACTTTGCACCACATTTTTCTTTCCATCTTAACGCAACGCCCAAGAAACGCACGTGATATAATAATAACATAATCGACAACGGCGGCGGCAGTGATGTGATATATGATAGTAATACTGTGTACACTTTTTTCACATTTAATTTGTACCTACAGCGGACATCTGCCTCAGAGGAGATCACCGGCAATGACACACTAGTGACTAATCACAGTTAGATCCGAGTAAATGAAAACAAATTTAATATCATGTCCCCCCACCACCGTCCGAAACGCGCGGCCATTCGGTTTTGTTTAATTGCGCATACCTATACGACACACGGCAAGCAGTTTAACGTGAACATTATAATCTTAATTGTCGCAACAATATAATATTATTTTCATATAATATAATAATATTTACCGCCAGCCCGGACGCGCGTCCGTGTTAATGTGTTACCGCCGTAGCCCGCCGCACCGCACCGCCGACCGCCGACCCAACGCGGGCTAACCGCGTCCCGGTAGATTCCTTCGGTCTGTCCTGGCGGTTTTTTCTTCTTCTTTTTTTTTTTTCTTATACACACGAGATGTGTGTGTGTGTGTGTAATAATATACTCGACATGCACTCGTGTCGCGTGTCCGGTTTTACGGACGTGTCTGTTAAACAAGCGTTACACGTGGGTATACATGAAGCTGTAAATATACAGGCAGGTATGGCGCGGTTATAATACCCTCAGAACGCGGACGCCTTTTGTAGTCAACAGTATAGTAGTGCATTATAATACGCATAACAGCCAAACAGATAATCGGCTCTGAACGACCGCTGCGAGCTGTAAATAAGAAATTTGGAATAATCAACAGAAATTTCGTTTCGAAAATGGTGAATGCTGTAATAGCAGAAGGTTGCCCCATTGTAACCAAGTGACTTTTATCGATATTCAACGAAAATAATATACGCCTATTGTATCATTACAATGCGCGTTGGAATTATCGTTATTTACATATTTTGGTTTACCGTTACAATTCTCAGTTGCCACCACTTAAATTTAATAGAGCCAATTACCAACGAGCCTTTGGCTACAGGTCAAAATATATTAAAACTCACAATATTCAAATAATTCTTTCAGAGTGTGTTTTACAAAATGCTTATGCTGCGTCCCGGTGCAGTTTATTACTCCGGTCATCTCCTAAATTAGATGACTATTTTTTCTCAAAATAATGTCATTAGTTTTGTTTTTACAAACCGGTGACGACATTTCACTGAACTAGTCGTCACAGTCAAGCCTACCATAATTATTACCAACTCACAAGGCGATTCTAGAAATAAAATATAATATTTCAAAGAGTTAGTTGGTATACGAAAATAATAACCCTTAGAGTAATTCAAACAGTCGTTTATTTACTATACACAAATGGTATATAAAAAGTATAGTACCTATAAAAAAGTAAAAAGTAAAAGTAAGAATAGTATATAAAAAAAAAGTCTCATTGATAGTAGTAAATGGCAAATATTGTGAGTTTAATTTTGTTTTTAACTTGTTTCAATATCACTTTATTCTCAAAACATGTTTTCACTATAATACAGCCGCCTTCTAATAATACAAATATTTCTTTAACTCGGCTGTGCGTACAATACTACTATGATGACACTTTCCGTTTCCGGATGGGTGACCGTTATCAAAATAGATTTACATAGGTACAATGTTCACGAGGGTCTTGACCGAAGTTATGCTGGATCAGTGGTCCTGGAACGGACGGTTATAAAATACTGTACTTAATCCGCCGAATAAAAATAAAAAACCATATTTGTTGCCCTTCAGCGCAGTCGGCCGTCATGCCAACACCGTCCGTCCGCCGTTCTACTGTTATTATTCGCAATAAATTCGTTTGGATCTTATATAGGCATAATATCATTATAAACGGGAACCGGTGTGTCGGATTACCTAATTTCCTGTTATTAAACTCTGCGCCGCTCAGGTCGGTCGTTTAACAACAATCGCGCGAGACACACTGCAGCGGCTCTACACAACAATACCCGTACTGGTCTCGAGTGCCTTTAGAAAAAAACTAACAACGTCCGTTTTCGAAATCCAATCAAAAGTCAAAAACACAACTGCACATCAAATTGTAAACACAATTCTTTGGGCGGGGGGCAGTCAAAACCAGTAAGTCGATTTTGGTCAAAATGAGACGAAAATAACTGTTTTGGATTTAGAAAATAAAATCGAATTATTAAGTGAAAAC